AAAAAAGAGTAAATATATTTATCATATTTATACTTATTTATAATATAACTTGCTAATATTAAATATTTTTTAATTTCTAGTGTTAATGATATTTTTCAAGAATATGGAGAATTAAATTCAAGAACTGTAGAAGCCATTGAAATAAAAGAGACATATAATACAGTTAAGGCAAAATTATTTGACTATTAAACTTTATCCCTTCCTTATTGACCACTCATGAGATCCAATTTCTGATAATTATTGATAATAGCAATCTTAGATCTTCTAGTATGTGTTGGTCCTTATATTTTGTAATTAATATATATAACTAAAATCTTTCAGACCTTTTATGTGACTAAAGTTTTTGAGAAGAAACAGATTCTATATAAGGTCAATATGATTTTGAATTGATTATTATCTTTTTTGACATTCTTGAATCTTTATATAATCTAGGTAGTGAGATGTTATAGTTTCTTTTTTCTTGTGCTGAAACTAATTAGAACCTGTATAACCTGATTTATTATACTATGATTAGATGACCTTAGTATTTCTTATTATATTATTGTATAATTATATTAATAACTTGTATATCTTTTTATTTTCTTGATACTTTTAGATAAATATTTAGTGATTGCTTTTCTATATTTAATAAATTTGAGTCTTAATTAATATTTTCTATTTTGATTTGATTTTTTTAACTGCTAGTTTTAAGAAACCTATTAAAATTATTTAATTTTTAAAATCTTTTTAAAAAAAATTTTGATAATATTTTTTTATTAATATTTTAAGTTTTTTTTCTAATAGAATTATTTTTATTTTAAGTTTGTAATTCCTATTTTCATAAAGTTTTTTTTATTGTTTCATCATAAATTCTTTTATATTTATTATTTTAATAATTTTATCAAATCCCTGACTATCACTTTTAAAGAAGTGTTCCTTCAAAATTCTATGTTTTAAGAGTAATAAAACTTCTAAAATTTTACTAAAAACACTCACTATACTTAGCAATAGTTATATTTTATTTTTCTTGTTTTTTTTCTCTTCCAAAACCTTATATTTAAGAAGTTAATACAAAAAAACTTTTCTAGAAAAAAGAAATCAGATAAAAAAATATTTTTTTTCTCTTCTCTAGGAGATTTCAAAGTTTAAAAAGAAGTATGGACCAATATCTTCATATTAGTCTAGGAAATTGACATTATTGTTACAGACAAAAACAACTTCTTTCTTAGTATATAATAGTTTTTCTTAATTTTTTGAAGAAATTTTATCTATTCTAGTTTGATTCTGAATTTTCTATTATATCAGATTTTGAATGAATTGATTGACTAAAGATTATAATTAATTGCTTTATAGTTAGTAGAAATATAAATAAGAATATATGTGATATGAGATATAAATATATTTTATAAGTTCCATAAGAATCTTAAAACTATTATAAGTTATAAACTAGTTATACAAATATATAAATATTATATGGACTATGATCTTCTCTCTTTTATTATCTTCTAAAAGTATTATAGCTATAAATGAGTACTTTTTTAGAGGCAAGATTGGATGGAAAAATTGTTATTAGGTATATTTTCTCCTTTTTTTATGATTTCTTCTTAAATCTTTTAGTTACAATTGAAAATGTATTTCTTTAGAAGTTGTTCAAAGATATTATAATTGATAAGAATCCTCATCACTATTCAAAACTCTCCTATTATTACAAGACAAATGAATTGTTAAGGAATTTGATCTTTTGAGTAATGGAAAATATATACTAGTAAAATTCTTTTAATTAAGCATAACTGTTAGAAGATATCATACTGAAACAATATAACTCAGTTCTTACTGGATCATATAAGAACTTGGGATTTATTATAAATAATCTCTTTATCATAAATAAATAAAAAGTTACTATCTAAAAAATGTTGGAACCAAGTGTGTCCTGAAAGTAAAGGCTTCCACTAGGTGATAAATCTTCTCAAATGATATATAAGAAGAAAATCAAGATCAAGAATAGATAAATTTTTCAAATGGTCAGGAAAAAAAAATAATATTTCAATCAAGTATTTCTTATTGAGAAGAGGTTTTGAGAAATAAGTCTTTAGAGAAAGCTGGAAATATTTTTTTTTCAATTTTTACTCTTTTAATTTCTTGTTATCTATTTAAACATTTTTAAATATTTCTCTTCTTCTTTTTTTCAATTCATCCTTTTGTAATTTTCTGTATTTCAGTAGTTTAATATTATATATGATAGTGATAATCTACTAGCAATAATGCAATGGACTAGGAGAGTTTTTACTTAAAAACACTGTGGAGCAAAATATTATTCCTAAGGTTAAACTTAAAGACTTTTATGCTTACAATAAGTTAGTTAAATTAGAATAATAGTTTAACTATAGTATGTATCATACTATTTGAATGAAAATATACTTATATTTTCAATTGATTAATAAACTCATAATCTAATCTGATTATGGGTACTCAGAAAAAAAAAAATTAACAATAGATATTTTTACAAATAAAAAAAAAAACAAAAATAATATTGCTTTGTATTCTTTGTATCTATTTATATAACTTATTTATTATATAAATCTAATTGTCCCTTAATTATTATTCATTCACTTGCTCTTTATTTATTTAATCCAATTCTTTGTTTATATACAAATCCACTTTACATTCAAAAATCCCGCCAACCCTATGCATGTTATGTTCTGTAAACCCTTACATTTCACACACTCGCTTACACTAAACAATTTATATTTCTAGGTTTTTCCTTATGTTCCACAAACCACAATCACGAAAAAAGTATGTACAGTATACAGTATAACAGTATACTGTACGCACATAAGAAAATACGCAAAAAAATTTTTTTTATTAATTGACATGAAGATACACACCATTATAATGTCCATGCATGAACCGAGACCACCAATTATATACAATAATTTGGAGGTAAAGGAGATCACACGATTACTGCGGACATACCATATATGGCATCTTTAAGAATTTATAAAACTGCGGCTATTCAGTTGAAGTTACTAACTCGCGCACTCGCGCACATAATGTTCAATAATCCTTGACAGTTAGATTTAATATACAGTAAGTGCAAGGTAGCAAACATTGTAAAGAAAAGGTACCTCGTAGCTAACACGTCACCGCCTGTCTAATTAACACATCTGTTAAAAATAAAACACGCAATTAATCCTTTTCATTAGTTGCCGCTCCTCACATCCGAGAAATTGTTGTGGAGTCCTTTTTATTGAAATCCTTTGTCTCGATTTACTTTCCACTTCCAATCAAGTTTGATCGCGATTTTCTCAGCGAATCCAATAAGTTGAAAAGGATTACTTGGCTTCATCTCCGAAATATTTTTAATTTACGATAATAAAACCTTGAGTATATACGTGAAGTTGTGGGAACAAATCCTACAGTACACCCTTATTTGTGATACAAAAATGCCAAGAGTATTTTCGCACCTATAGTTTTTTATACTCGCCGGAATCCGATGATGCGAGTTAGTCTGAAAAAAAGTTATCAGTTGATTTTTTCCTTTACTCCTACAATATTTTTAACAAACCATCATGCTAAGAAGCGGAAAGATTAGGAATCAGGGCATGTATGAAGTTAAATCAGCATTAGTATCCTCTTATATCGATATTTTTTTGGTATATTCTTATTATGTTAACTTTTTTAATTTAAAACAGGAGAACAATAGTACTATTATTAAGTGAATTAAAATGAATCTTCTCCAAACTCAAATACTATATATACCTTTTTAGGATCCTGGTCTTTCCATTATGTAATCGCCGACAATTAGGAATTAAATTGCACAATCACATTTTAGGAAGTCTTTGATTGAATTGGTACGCATTCATGTATGCGCGTTGTACTGGCAGAATCTTGTGTTTTACGGGCATAAAGTGCGTCCTCTCGGGAATCGTAATCAAAGCGTTTCGGAACGTGCTGATACCACAACGCAAGTAGATTCCTGCATGGCTTGTTTCTGTGCTCTCGTTTAAACAATTTTCGTCATACTGTTTGTTACGCGTGGTCGTTATAATTTGAAATTGCACGTCCAACCTCAAATAAGGCTATTATTTGATAAATAAGACACATTCAACATATAAATATGACTGCAACATTCGTTCCATGTTCCATTCGCTTGCACGGATCTTGTGACCTTCCGTTTGACATCGATGCCTCCACGGAATAGTAACGACGATAACAAAAATGAATTAAAACTATTTGTGGAAATTTCACATACCGATAATAATTCATCCCCACCCTCATCAGTACCAATCTCCTCAAATGATAAAATTGACACCATGATCCCTGATCAGAAAACTCGTTACATTTATTCTTTTGACCAGAATTCCTCTCACCTATCAATATCATCAAAAGGTAATGATTTTTGGAAGCACCTTATGTCACATATTATGTATACCTTTGGTTCGCTAGACTCACATCTTCGTCGTCTTCTGTCAATTCCTTCAAGTTTCCGCCTTATCACAACAAATGACGACGCCTGTGTCGGACAAATTACGTCATCTCACAAGCAAATTTCGAACATTTTTCGGTGGTCGAACACATGAACCCACGAGCAGAAAAATCATAATTAATCCAGACCCATTGATAGATCATTCGACACCCATTCATTGCAAGAAAAATGCAGTCAGAACCTCACGTTACACGTTTTTATCATTCCTTCCGAAACAGCTTTACGCTCAATTCTCAAGGGTTGCAAACATATATTTTTTATTTGTTGCCACCATACAAGCCATACCCGAATGGTCACCAACAGGGCAATTCACCACCTTGATTCCTCTAAGTTTCTTTCTGTCTCTTTCCATGATTCGTGAGGGATACGACGATTACAGAAGGCACAAACAAGACCAGGTTGAGAATAACAAAGAGTGCTTGGTGTTGCGCGGTGTGTGGACCAAAATGAAATGGGAGAGTTTGAAGGTTGGCGATTTCGTGTCGATCAAAACCAAAGAATGGATTCCCGCGGACTTATTATTACTTCATTCCAAAGGTGAAGATGGAATTTGTTATGTTGAGACGGCGGCTTTGGATGGTGAAACAAACCTGAAACAACGGCAAGCATTGCGGGAAACAAATTTAATGCTGAATTCCCCCGAAGCCCTTGCCAAGTTCCAAGGTAAACAAACGATTTTGGTTGCACGTACATGTTCAATCCTTCGACGCTCATTGATATCATCGTGCATGTGTTTGAAGGTACGGTTGAAGTGGAACCTCCGAATCCAGATTTGTACAATTTCGATGGGTCCATAACAATTTCACATGAAAAGACTCTTCCACTGACCCAGAATCAAATATTATTAAGAGGCACGATATTGCGTAACACTCCCGGGGTTTATGGGATGGTGATTTACGCCGGAGAAGAGACTAAACTTCGTATGAACGCATCAAAAAACATTAGGACGAAAGCCCCTACTATGCAGAGAATATTGAATCGCGTGATTATCATGGTCTTTAGTTTTGTCGTGTTCCTGTCGATTTTATACACGATAATGTCATCGGTTTGGGAAAAGCAAGGGATCAACAGGTGGTACACCGAATACGGTGTGAACCCGACGACTACATTCTTTGGTTTTGTAATTGTTTTCAACACCATGATACCAATTTCTTTGTATGTCACCATGGAAATAATAAAGCTCGCCCAAGTTTACTTCATAAATAATGACAGGAGCATGTATCACGAAGAAACCGACACACCGGCTGAAGCTCGAACCTCAACGCTTAATGAAGAGTTAGGACAAGTGAGCTATATATTTTCGGATAAGACTGGTACTTTGACGGAAAACATTATGATTCTCCGGAAGCTGAGCGTTCACGGAAAGGCATTCTGTCACGATTCGGAGAATTTCAACAAACTAAGTGAAGGCGAACCATCGGCTTCTACTCCACCCAAAAAAGAGGTCTCGCCGTTCCTTGTTGCTCCCTCGACAAATCTTCGGCTTAAGGCATCGAGTCAAAGCAGAAAATCATTATGCGATGTCAATTTCTCGATGATCGCACCGATAGCTCCAAGTCATCATCGATGTAATTCGCTTGATTCTACAAAGTCCACGAAAGTTTCTATGAAAACCACCATGGATTTGTTGAATCTCATAAGGCATCAACCGAACTCATCTTTTGGACGAGGAGCCCGATTTTTCCTACTTTCCGTTGCCTTATGCCACACTTGTGTTACAGAAAGTGACATGAAAACCGGTGAAATATTTTATCAAGCCTCTTCTCCCGATGAGTTTGCCCTCCTGATGGCGGCAAAAGAATTGGGATATGTTTTCATCAATCGCTCATTGGGAACTGTCTCCCTCAGGTTCAACGACATCCCCGATGACGCGGCGACAACAAATGATGATAGCACCTCAACTGGAGTATATAAAGTTCTGAATGTATTGGAATTTTCGAGCGAAAGAAAGAGGATGTCAGTGATTTATCAACTTCCGGACGGTAGAATATGTTTGCTGTGCAAGGGGGCAGACAACGTTGTCTTGGAACGCCTGAAGGAAAATTTGAATGAGAAAGGCAGCGCGGACAACGAATGCCCAGAAATTCATCAAAACAGCCACCATCGATCCCATGACGGAAAATGGTTATTAGAAAAAACTCGGCAACACATTCAAGACTTCTCAATTGATGGCCTTCGGACATTGTTATATGCGCATCGATACATTGACAAGGAAGAGTACGACAGGTGGAACGAATTATTCCAAGAGGCATCTAATTCTGTCACGGAAAGACGAGGAAGGCTTGAGAAAGTTGCCGAACTGATCGAAACCGATTTAAAAATCACTGGAGCGACGGGCATCGAAGATAGATTGCAAAACGGAGTTCCGGAAACCATTGAGAGTTTGCGCACGGCAGGAATCAAGGTTTGGATGTTAACCGGTGATAAGCGTGAGACCGCAACAAACATTGGATATTCGTGTTCATTGATTAAGAATCACTCGATAATAATAAACATTGATCTCAGTGTCAATCTGAGCGAAATGTTGGAAAAATGGCTGAAGGACGTTAGAAAAGGCCGAGTGGAGCACGTGGTGGCGATCATCGATGGGAAAACTCTAATGTCGATTGAGCAGGAGTCCGATTTACTTGATATCTTTGTCGAACTCTGCGTTCTGTGCGAGACGGTGATATGTTGTCGTGTGAACTCGGGTCAGAAGGCGCTGGTAGTACAGGTGGTTCGAAGGAAACTAAAGGATGAAGCGGTCACCTTGGCAATTGGAGATGGGGGAAACGATATTGCAATGATTCAGGAGGCGCATGTTGGAATAGGAATTACTGGTCGTGAGGGATTACAAGCAGCAAGAGCAAGTGATTACTCAATAGCACAATTTAGATTCCTAGAAAACCTGCTCTTCGTTCACGGTCGATGGTCATATGTTCGGATCTCAAAATTCGTACTGGGGACTTTTTATAAATGCACGTGTTTCTATTCAACCCAAGGAATATTTCAAATTTTCACAGGATTCTCGGGAACGAGTTTGTATGAACAATGGACACTTGCATTTTACAATACATTGTTTTCATCGCTACCGGTACTGGTCATTGGAATATTTGAAAAGGACTTAAATGAGAAAACACTTTTAAGCATACCCGAATTGTATCGAAGGGGACAAAGAAATATGGAATTTAATGTGCAAACATTCTTGGCATGGATGCTTGGAGGACTGTATCATGCCTCGGTGATAGTTCTAGTGCCGACACTGTTACATGAATATTTCGTAAATAATCAGCAAGCGCAGTCACCACAATTATTCGAATTCAATAGCGTATGCATGCGTGGTATTCGTGGTAACAATAAAAATTGCGTACTTGGAATGCCACAATTGGACAATAATGACACATGCGACATCATTCCTAACATTATTCACGTGGTTCATGTTTCAAACCGTGTATTCCTATGTGTACCCCGCTAGTCAGCCGGTTTATTCGGTTAAAGGAACATTTCAAAATTTGGCGGTGAACCCGAAATTTTGGGTGCTATTACTGTTAACGGTCTCGACTGCGTTAATACCAAGTCTCATAATAACGACCGTTAGGAAGATGGTTATGCCCAGTGATGTGGATTTTTACCAAGAAGTTGAAAAGGACGAGAAGCGCCTGGAAGATGATGAGATTGATGAGGTGGATGGAAAAATTTGCGAGAAAATAGTCGTAATAAAGAACGAAGGTGAAGAGATCACCAAAAGATTCGCGTGAAGATCAAGGTGGCTGCATGTATACGCGTACTTTAATACCTTTAAAATTAGCATCCTCACGCGACATGGTTCGACGTCAGCATGTCACGATGCTCTCCTATCTTCCTCCCGCAAATGCAAAAGTTCATTTTGAAAGAGGTGGAGGTTATACGGGCGATAATGGGAGGTATATGGATGTCGAAAGCTTTGCAATGGGATAGAATGTATTTTGATTTTGATTTTTTTTTTTAAAAAAAAAAAACCCCCCACATCAACGAAGCTTATAACTTTTTATCACTTAGAAAAGAAAACATCATGCTAGCATTTATAATCAAACATTTAGCATTTTATAAATACCTTGAAGAAAAAAAGGAGCAGACATTTCCATCACGCGCTCGATTTGTATTCTGCACCTCAATTATCTTGGATTTTTATTGAAAAAAAAAAAGATTACGTCACATAAAATGCACTAAATTAAAAGCTTTCCACACGGTGCATTCGCAACACCACCGTTGTCAACGTCATAGACGACATTTCCTCTAACAATAGTTTTCTTTACAACTCCATAAAGTTCTTTTCCCATGTATGGAGTAACCTTGTTTTTGAATTGAATGACATCGGTCGATATCTATTAATTCGCAAAGATCAAATATTTGCATACTTTGGTCATTACAAAAACAAAAAAGAAGTTATGTTAAATGAAACTCAAAACGGATTGATAAATACTAACCCTAAACGTTTCCTCGGGCGACCAAATTACGATGTCCGCGTCATAACCAACTTTGATTTCGCCTTTTCTGTCGTTTAATCCAACTTGTTTGGAAGTATTTTTGGACAACCAAGTTGTCAGGTGATGATAACTTGGTAGAGAAGCAAAGCAAAACCACATTAACCTGGCGTGCGCGAATCGGCGCAAATTTCTGTCATCGGATCCATACCTGCATCCGCGTTTTCGGGCTTCCGTCCACAACACCGGCAATCCAAATTGCAAAGTGGATATGCCTCCCCACGCTTTTAAGAAGTCTCTATCTCCAACTTCCTTATCTAAGAATTTAAGATCTGCTGTGCACGGCGAGTGATCCGACACCACATAATCTATAGTCCCATCAAGTAAAGCCTTTAGCGTATAATATAGGTAAGGAATATTTATTAGCACGTGCTCAACTATATCCTCGAAATTTTGTTTACGCGCTCACCTTCCATAATTCTTCCCTGTTACTGTCCTCTCTAACAGGAGGACAACATTTAAAATCGGTTCTTCCTGATGGAATTTCCTCTGCACTTAGGCATAAATAATGAAAGCAAGTCTCAACTGTCAGAGGGATTCCATCTGACTTCGCTTTACGAATGATGTCGAGTGCGTTCGCGGCCGATAAGTGAACTATGTGAGTTCGCACTGTGGGAAAATCTCTGGCCACTCTTATAACAAGTGAAATCGCGTTGAATTCAAGAGATTTCGGACGGGAATCGAGGAATCTTTTGTAGATGTGAGATGGGCACATTGGACCGTTTGAATCTTCGCAAGATTTATTCGATTCCTTTTGATCCTCGGATTCCATTTCCGCGTGAAACATAAAAATTGTTTTTGTCCCCTGTATTCAGAAAACTTGAGATATTTTTGCTGTGAAAATAGAAGATTTTTTTTTTTTTTTACCTGCAGTTTTTCATAAGCCTTTCTCACTTGCTGTTCATTCACGCAAGGAAATTCTTCAACTCCGCTTTCTATCAGAAAACACTTGAATCCCTTGACGCCTGCTTCGATCAGCGGCACCAAGTCATCCTTTTGATAAAAAAAGAATATGAATCATTTTACAACTAACGCAAGTCATTCGTTACGTTCATTATGAAAAGATGTTCACCAACTTGATTTCCTGGAATTATGCCACCGTAGAATCCGACATCGATCCAACATTTTCCATTTGCCGATTCAATTTTCCGCTTCAAATTGTCGACAGTGGTTGTTGGCGGAATGGAATTTAACGGCATATCAATAATTGCGGTCACTCCTCCTGATAAAAAATATTGACCGTGAATATAGGAATTCCCAATTCCTTCTTCAAAGAAGAATGTGAAGAGATTCTATACCAGCAGATGCTGCTTTCGTTCCTGTCTCAAAACCCTCCCAATCGGTCCTACCCGGTTCGTTCAAATGCACGTGAGCATCAACTATACCCGGCATAACGACATCCTCACCAACGTCATGAAATCGAGTTTTATCGAGAAAACTGTACGACTCGTATGAGGCTTTGTACGGCAAGATGGAAACTATGTTACCAGAGTTGTTAATTTCAATTGTACCAGGCGATGGATCAATCGACCCGGAGGTAAGAATGCGAGAACTAGTTATCACTAATTTTATGTTTTTGGACTCCATCCGTTTCATTAAAGGTCTGCATGGATAATGATTATTGATAGGATTCGATTTATAATTAAAAAGTTGACATGATTGGTCATCCTTATACGCCAATTGTAAAGAGCTTTACGCATTTTGTGAACCTTTGGATTATCGTGACATGCTTTAAGGCGATAAGAATCTTGCATTGTCCGATTGTTAATCAAACGTATTCAAGTATTGCAATGTGTCAATTTACGTAATAATCAAAATAATCACAAAACTGGGTTAACCGTGAGAATTTTCTTGTGCCTAATGTTGATCCCCTTAATCCGTCGGATATAACCAATCAAATTCGATAACGAGATCTGCCCAGAGAATGACCGAAACTACTACTGGAGCGAATTCAAACTACACGTTGCGAAGAAATCGCCCAGGAACAAAGCTCGAAGTATCTTATCAGCTTATTTGTATGAGAAATTTAAGCCTCCTATATAGTATAGGGTCTTTAGTAAGACTGCTAATAATAACTACCTTTCAACAAAATAAATAATAGGACGCCTACCAGTTTGAACATGTCCCACTAGAGAAACTTGACTCGGCCTTCGCTCTGCAGGAATATTTGCAATCTCTGATAAGAAAGGACAAGGAAAATTTAGATTTATTGGTTGAATTACCCCCGGACCAAGACCCAGAGACTTGGCAATATGAACACCTAAGGTCGTTAGATTATTTATATTTACATCGACATTCAGAAATACGTACATACAATTTTTACTCGACCTCTTTTGATATATAGGCAACTATGTTTAGAACTAAATTATCTGATCGTGCAACTTGAAACGGAATGCAATCGACAATCCTGCCCCGAGATGAAAGCCGATGAATGGATGTATTTATGCGCAGCGCATCAGACTCCAATGAATGTGCGTGATTCTCCTTGTCTGATTAGCTCTTCAATTATCACCGAATGGTTACTTAACATTATTATAATTAAAGTGCTGTGCAATAGATTATATGGTTCATGCCTTGGATGGAGCGACAAGTGTATTGAATAGTCACAAGCATTTTCCAAGCAGGTATGCATTTCTCTTGCCGCAATTCATTAATTAGCCAATTTATTAAAAGCCCGAAACTAATCAACATCCCCGGCGATCGATAAAGGATAACAATATCTGATACGTCGGTAAAACATTATCAATCTATAGCGAGAAGACTTTACAGAATATTTGCTCACGCTTGGTTTCACCACCGAGAAATTTTCGAATCCTTCGAAGTAATGAATTATTATTTATTTTATTTTATTTTATTTTTCAAACACCGTCAAACATACTTTTAACAAGCCAATTCCGTACCATTTCAGAACGAAACCTTTTTATATGGGCGTTTTTTGAAACTCTGTGATCGTTATGGATTGGTGGCAAAAAACCTTTTAATCATACCTCAAAACAATGTTGAAGAAGATCCCAATGGTAGTGAAGTGTCTACGAAAATTTTAGCGGCCACTTAATTAATCTTCTCATGCTGATATATAAGAATCGAGAATTAACTAAAATGTTCCATTATTTTTTATAAGAAACCTCTTATGTCTCATTTGTCTAAAGATTTGCCTGGTCGTACTGTCATTATTCATTTTTACAGTGGCGATATAAAAAAAAATAGTTATATGGATAACTTTAATTTTATACTTTCTGAATATAAAAATGACTTATATTCCTAATGAAAAAAATGTTTTTTTTTTTTATTAATTACTCTGATCACCTTTTCAAAGTAAAGTTTTATATTTTGCTATTTATAAGTTAATATTATCAAAAATATTAGATCCTTTATTCTTCTAACTATTTGAAAGAACTGATGGGTTTTTAAAAACAATTTACTTTTTCATTTTTTATTTTGTCTAGAAGTTATCATGTTTTTTTTTTAAATAGTTCTATTTATTCTAATATTTAATTTTTCTTTATTATCTAATCTTTTTGAATATCATTTTCAAATAAAAGTAATAAAAATATATCTAAACTTTCAATAACAAGAAAAAATATTTAGAAAAAAGATTTCTAATTAAAGATTTTTCTTTATCATTTTATAATAGATTAAATAGATTTGGAAAATAAATAGTATTAAAAGAATAATCTTATAGTAAAATCTTATTCTTTAAAAATTTTTTTGGATTTCAAATTACAATATTAATAAGAATAAGAAAAATATAATTAATCAAGATTAAATAAGATTTCAACAATAAATAAATACAGTATTATAAATATATTTTTATAAAAAAAAAAACAAAAATTTCTAAATATTATGGAAAAAAGGTATTAAATAAACAAAATTAATAGCAAATAATATAAGTATTAAAACAATTAAATTAAGTATATATAATATTGATGATATTATAAAAAATTTTTATTAAAAAATTTTTTTCTTGAAGATTAAAAAGTTGGCTTTAACTATAAAAAAAACTTATACAACTTTAATAAATATAATATATATAAAATAATTATAAAAATAATTATAAAAAAAACTTTTTATATTAATTCTTTTTTTTAAAAAAAATTTTTTTTTAATAATAATTTTCTTGGAAAAAGATATATAACAAAAATAATATATTTATTAAATCCATAAATTAAAATACATGACAAAATTATTTAAAAAATAAAAATATATATTATTTTTTTTATTAATTTTCTTCTTTTTTTTAAAAAAAAAATATATATATATAGAAATTGATTTATAGTCAGAAAAAGAAAGTCAATATCAACTTTATATAACTTATAATTAGGTTTATATAAATTAATATCTTTTTTAATACTATAAAAATTTTTAAAAACAATTAAGTTCACTTGATAAATCAAGTTGTTTCAATTACTCTAGAAACTAGAAAAATATTAAAGCTATCTAAAAATAAGATAATTTAAATATATATTTAAATAATAAATTGATTTTATTATATTAATACAAATATATAAAATAAATATATATAGTATAACTTATATATTAGAACTCTTTCTGTTAATCTTCTATCTATATACAAAAAAGATATTTATAAGAAATTTTTTATTTTTTTACTAATAAAGTTTTAATACTATCCTTAAATCAACTTAAAGTTTTACTTCAAAAGATATTCTCAAATTCTTTCTCTTATTTATATTCATCTTCAGACAAAAACTGGTTTCTTGTAATATAGAAAAGTCAAAAAATATTTTCTTTACCTATAGTAAAAAAGTTCTATAAGTAAGAGAAACTAATATTATAGTATTTAAAACTTTTCATATTAAAGTATATCTATAAAGATTTTATGTAGTGAAAGATAATGAATATCAAGTCATATTTTCAAAATGTCTATCTACTATTTATTCCTTCTTATAATTACTTAAATTTTTTGATTAGTTTTCTAGAAAATTTTATCTATCTCAGTTTGACCCTAAATTTTAAATAATATAATCTATTACAAAATATAATTGGTAGACATAAAATATATTAGTAATTGAATAAATATAAACAAGTATTTATTGATTATCTTATGTATTTCAATGATGTTATTAGTAATAGGAAAATTTAATTGGTATTCTATTTCTATCTCACTTTTTCAATTGAGTTAACCTACAAATCAAATTCTATAATATCAATAAAATATGAGTAGCAAGTTCTCAAGTAATAAAAAAGCTGCTATTTATTCAAACTAAGATTTTTTTTTCTTATTATTTTAGTTAAATAAAGTTTAAAACTAAGATCTTCTTCTTATTTTAGTTAGGTAATAAGACTGAATGGTCTCTGGTTTATACTAAGCTTCAATTCTCTAATTATATTTAAGAATAAATTTTTTCAAAAGTTATTAAAGGATATTGTAATTGACGAAGATTTCTAATACTATAATATTCTTTCACTATTATAAGACAAAAAGATTATTAGAGAATATAACTTTTTAAGTAATGAAAAATATTTATCACTAAAATTTCTTTAACTAGATATGAATATTGAAAGATGTTATACTGAAATAATATGGTTTAATCTCTATTGAATCATATAAGAATCCATGATTTATTATAATTTTTTTTTTTTTTTTTTTTTTAATGCTGTTTAATTCAAAACTTTTTTGGTGGATCTTTACGTAAGGTAGAAAAAAAAAAGTTCTCTGGGACTATATGTAAGAAGTATTTGTATAGATAAAGTATTACAATAGAAGAGCTCCTTTATGAAGACTTCATCTTGTGATCTGGTCACCTCTTTAAGAAGAAAAAGAGAACTAGTCTAAGGTCTAACTAGTACTGAAAAAAATTTTTGAAACTATGTGGACCACCAGATTATCGACCTAAATTTTCTATAGCTACCAACCATTTACCAAAGAATACTATTGATCAATCCAATGCCTTGCGAATTATTCACCGGAATACTGTGTTTCTTCATTTTTAGAAGGGAGTAAGGTGCAAAGAGGGGAGAGGATTACTCATCCAAAGACCTGGTGAGACCTATGGTCAAAGAGATACCTTAAAATCTTTGGTGGAGTTGACGAATCCAATCCTATAGGTAATATCATCTTCAAGCATTTGCTGCTTATTTAAAAAGGCGCAAAACTTCCAAAGGTAAATTCAGCTTAGAGGAGATTCTTCCATTTTGGTAAAAATTTCCAACTAGTACTTTCACTATGAATAAGAATGGTGGGTACCACTGGCAGCTTTTAAGCCTTTCTGAAGGGTGAGATTTGTCGAGAGTCTTGAGGTATCTTTGGTTTCTGGTTCTCCAGCAAACTATGGATCAGGA